TAAGGCTCACAAGAACAAAGGCTTGTGACAAAAGTAAAAAAATAACAAAAAAGCCTCTTTCAACATGTTAAGAATAAGAAAAAAGTCAAGGAAACAATTGGTCCATTGCTGGGACAAAGTGGCAAGAAGGTGACAAGCAACAGGAAGAAAGCAGAACTACTTAACTCGCTTTTTTGCATCTGTCCTTACACAAAGGGGAAAAAAACAGTCCAACCTATCAAAAACAGCATCACAGATTAGGAACACAAGTTAAAATTGGGAAGAAAATGGTAAGTGAGCACCTGTCTACCCTAGATGAGTTCAAATCACCAGAACCAGATGGATTACACCCCAAGGTTCTGAAGGAACTGGCAGATGAGATCCTAGAACCACTGAATTATATCTTTCAAAGATCCTGGAGCACTGGGAAACTGACAGAGGACTGGAAAAGAGCTGATATAGTTCCCATCTTCAAAAAACGGAAAAAAATAGATCCAGGAAACTACAGAGCTAACAGCCTGACCTCAATACCAGGGAAGATTCTGGAAAAGATAATCAAGCAGTGAATCAGTGAACACTTAGAAGCAAACAAAGTAATAACCAAAAGCCAATATAGGTTTGTCAAAAACAGATCATGCCAGACTAATCTTATTGCATTCTCTGACAAAATGAGTGGACCAAATGAATGCTGTCAATATAATTTATTTGGACTTCAGTAAGGCATTTGATAATGTGGATCATAACCTACTACTTGATAAAACAGAAAAATGTGGGTTAGATATTATCACGACCAGAGTGTAGAGAAGAGCAACAAAGATGATTAGGGGACTGGAGTCTGAAACATATGTAGAACAGTTGCAGGAACTGAGCATAGCTAGTCTTATGAAAACAAGGACTAGGGGAGACATAATAGCAGTGTTCCAATATGTCAGGGGCTGCCACAAAGAAGAATGAGTCAAGCTATTCTCCAAAGCATCTGAGGGCAGGACAAGAAGCAATGGGTGGAAAGGAGAGAAGCTACTTAGAAACACTGGAAGTTTTTAAGAAGAGATTGGATAACCGTTTGTCTGAAGTGGTGTAGGGTTTCCTGCTAAGCAGGAGGTTGGACTAGAAGACCTCCAAGGTCCCTTCCAACTCTGTAATTCTATTTCTATTCTAACATAGTGTCATATCTCCTTAAGTATTAGGTATATGGCATGATGTGGATTAAGCACAAATACATACATTGAAAACCTAAATTCATAAACCACTTTAGAGAAAAATGCTTTAGCGTATGGTGTATGTATGAAAGCAAATTACCTTAGAAAGGTTTTTAATGAAACACCAAGAGTTCAAAAATCTAATGACTGACATGTATTTTCACAACTTACCTTACAACGGTAGTTCATAATTTTGACAAGTTTCATGGTTTTATTTATCGGTTATAGTGCACCTACATTATTCTAACTATTGTACAAAGATTGAAAAGTAGAGGCATTCCTGCTGGCCAGTTCAACATATGAGAATAACAAATGGTAACAAAATTAGGAGGGAAGATGAAAGCAAGCAAATATAGATGTTACAGAATCTTGGCAATTTTAGTGCTCTCTGAGCTTGGTTGTTTTCTTGCGAACAATTCATTACCTAAACTAGGTAATAAAATGTCTGCAAGAAAACAGCCAAGCTTAAAGAGCACCAAGAATCCCTCATTTCAACCTTGAACTACAAATATTCATTTCTCTTGGCATTTTATTACATCCATGCATGGGGGCCTGTTTTCAGCAATACTTCAGCAAGATAATCCTCTGCTGGCTGATATCGGCATATCGTCTATCCAATTCTTCAGTCCCAAGGCACAAGATCTTTGTATATAGTCATATAGTCACTGCACAAACTTCTAAAAAAAAAAACCCTGAAATTCACTTTGTACAGGTTAACTGTCGTTGCCAAGGTTGGACAACCCTGGTCTAGGCAATAGTTGTGAACAATTTTATGTGTAAGATACTTCCACAAAAACTCTTCTCCTTTAGAGTTCATTCCTATTCTTACTATTATACAATTGACTGCATATTCCTTAAAACGAAAGGGACACTTGTTAAGGCTGTTTAATAGTTAACATATCCATCCCACCTCACTGCAGAAGCAACAATAACTGATTATCATTGGATGATCCTGTCAACAGACTTATCTTTGTTCAATTTGACTTTTAGAAAAAGTCAAATTTATTTCCATATTGTACTGCAGACTAAGTATTATTTACTAGCCTAATAATAAATTTTATTTACTAATAAAATTCTTTTATTTTAACCATGCTAATTTGATGATTTGCCTGGAGGAACTAGAAGTAATCATAAGAGCTTCTAAGATCTATTTTTAATATAGTCTTTCTTCATTCTTTATTATGGTCAAGGGAAACCCTTCTTGAAAGATCTGTGTTTTCATTATCACTAGTAAACACTAGCTGCATAATCAGAATTTTATTTCAGTAACTAGTCTTTTTTTAGAACATTAGTCTTGAAATTATACTGTTTGTATTCAGCTATTTTCTTCTCTCTTTTTTTAAGATGAAAAGTTTGAATCTTATATGAAGTTATGCACAATGAGTAATGCAGTAGATATCACATAAAACAGATAGTCACATATTCTTTAGAGTAGCCAATTTTGGTCACAGAAATGTCTTCCTTCATCAGATAGTTTTAATAAAGCAGTATTGTGGATAAGCAAGAACTCAAAGTTCATACTGCCAATACTTCACAAAAAGAAATGGTGTAAAAGAAACAAATATATAAATTCCACCGATAATCGCTCTTCCGGTTTGCAGGGCTTTGGCAGCAGGCAGGAATCCACGATCGTGCACGGTTTCTGCCTGGGCTCACTGCTGGAGCATCCTGAGCCATTTGGCTTTGAGGCTAAGCCACCCCATAGAGGTGGTGAAGAGGGGGGAGATCCCAGCAGGGTCGAGGGAAGCCACATCTTTCCTCCCCAGCTGGCTAAACTCCCTTTCCCTAAGGCGGTAAGAGCGGTGGTCAGAAATGGCTGCCTCAAAGAAGCACTCATCCAGAAAAGAAAGTGCAGGAGGAAGTTAAGAAGTGAAAGTTTTGGCTGACCAGGATAAGAAGCAACAACTAAGGTATCCTGGAATCTAAATTTTTTTATAAAGATACATTGCTTCCAAAGAAGATTCAGAAGCAGCGAATGAAAGTGAAAAGGGAAAGGTTTTTTTTTCACTCTCCTTCCTTACGTTGACAGCGAACAAAGATGAATGAGAAATCGGAAAAAACCACTTTGGCATCAAAAGGTAATTAAACAGGATAATTAAATGTCAAGGGGACAATAAGGATTTCTGAACACTAAACCCCCCCCCCTTTTTTTTCTCACTGTAAGTGGGAAGGGAGAGGAAAAGAATAAGAGCAGGATTTGGAAGGAGGAGACTGCCTGGAATTTAAAAGAATCTGATTTAAATCTTTAACAAGACTTCTAAAAGATACTTTTTAACTGGAACTTTGTAACTAAACAGTAACCCCAGGAAGAGAAAGTGAAAAAAGAAGAAAGTGTTAAAAGAAACAGCTTGTATGTATTTGGATTGCTTGGTGACTTTGGGACTTTTGGAAATTATATTTGAATGACTAAAAACACTTGGGTGGTTGTTTGAATTTTTTTTTTTTAACAATGGCATCACTTGTGGATGAACTGAAAATGGAATTCAAAAAATACAAAGAAGAGGAACAAGAAGGGAAGGGCACTCTTGGTTCTGTTTTTCAATTCTTAGAAATGGCAATCTGTACCTACGAGAAACTACAAGAAAAGACTGCGCAACAAGAAGATTGGGACAAAGAAGAAGCCATCTTTAACGAACAAGTAACTTTACTTGGGGAAGAAAGGGGAAAGAAAATGGAGACTTTAAGACCTAAAAAAACAACCAAAAAAGAGGAAAAATATGGTGAAAAGTGGATATAATGTTAGAAAGCAACAGAAAAGGAGAACACAGAAGAGGGAAATGGAGGTGGAGAGACAAGGGGGTAAAAAGGCAGAGAGAAGAAGCAAGGGAGAAAGGAAAGGAAGAGAATCTACAAAGGTGTGGAGCAAGATGTAAAGAAACAGGACTTATTTAGAGATAATGGGTAAAAATATAACTGAAAAAGTGATTCTGCAAAGGTACATAAGATTGTATTGTTATATTTGTATTAGAAATAATGTTAGAAAATTGGAAACAACATATGATTAAAAAGTGGGATAATTCAGTGAAACTTTTGTGAACTTTTGTGAATAAAATAAATGAAATGAAAGAAATGAGAGAATTGAATTAGGAAGGAATGGGAACATTTTAAAATATAAGTGAAGTGTGGGGGGGAAATAACTATGGAAAGTTTATGCGTTCCCATAGAACTATTATACTTGTTTGAAAAGTAATGTGTAAAATGTTTAAGATTTAAATGAATATTAACGATAGATCTGAATTGGTATGGATTGTTGTTTTAATTATATTATATATTTATAATTTTTTCTCTTTTTAAAATATAGTGTGTAACTTTAGAATGTACTAAGCAGAATCTGAATGGAAGTTATGTATTATACTAAGTGTTATAAATTTAGGGGAAAGAGATAAAAGTGTCATACTCCAATCAGTGATTACAGGAGAAATTTTGTTTAATGAGAAAAAGATAATAGACAGCTGGAAACAGGACAAAGAATATAAGTATAATGATCTGAATTGAGATGAAATAAATAAAATAAAATTAAGAAAGTTAAAAGAGGGGAGAAGCTATATAGAAAATGTAGAATGGTAATAAGATATGGAATGGTATATAAAATGAGCTTGAATTTGAATTTGTGTCTGTATGAAGAGATGTAACCTAGGATCAAGCTGCTTTCAAAAAAGATGTTTTATGTTTTATGTTTTGTTTGTTTATGTTTGTTTTTAAAAATCAATACTAATTTTATATATATAAAAAATTCCACTGAGAATCATTGCATATTCCAACTAAAATCCAAAATCATCCTTACTGAAGATGAAATCAGCTTAGGAACAGCTAAATAAGCAGAAGTTAGTTGGCAGAAAGAGGGTTATAGGCATTAAGTTATTTTGGATTTCAAGCAAGAACACAATGAAATTCTATTTAGGAATAGAATAGAAATGCTGGAAAACTCTTTAGATAAGTGCGTCTATCTGTAGTATAATTTCATTTATTTCCAATCTGTTGTGGACTGATAGGATGTTGTGATAATTCAAATTGCTATAAAATTTTTTAAACATTTACTTTCAAATCTTGTACTTATCTTGGGTGTGAACCAGAAACAAATGGACCAGCACCTGTCCATCCACCACACTTTGACTAGCTCTGTTTTAGACAGAATTAAGACAGGTACAATTCTTAACTTGTAAAAAAATGGTTTGAGAGCCATGGAGTTTTCAATTCACTGCATTTTGCTTGAAGGTACTGTAAATATGCACATTGCTGCAATTTAGATATGGTTTAGTCTTCATGAGACTGAAGAAAGCAAAATGTAGAATGTTTTATAAACTGCAACCATTAAGGAATAAAATCTATTAAACTTGCACACTGGCTACCTCTCAACAATTCTGGGTTATGCACAATAATCGATGCAATTAGAATTAAAAAAAATTAAGCTAAAAGATGGCAAGCAAAATGAAATAAGATGGAATATAAATGCTTTGTGTGCTATATCATATATAATCAGATCAGTCCATGAAATCTATTTAGATAGAACCATCAAAACTGAATGAAGAAGTTAGTTTCACCAAAGAAGCTGATGCTAAAAATACAGTAAAGTAGAACCTCTAGTCACAAATGCTTCTGACTATGACCAGATTTGACCCATTTTTTTTTCATGGCCGATTTCCCCTTCTGAGCCATTTTTTTTGTAAGTGCCAAATTTCCAAAATTAGGTTCAAGTCATGACCAAATCAGGTTGTGACCAAAGTTATGGAACGAATTATGGTCACTTTGAAAGGGCGTTTGTGCTTGCTCCCCTAACTGCAGTCTGCAAATACAGGTAGTCCGTAATTTGTTTAGTGACTTTCTGAAGTTATGACACTGAAAAACATGACTTATGACCATCTTTTCACACTTATAGCAACCTCATGGTCATGTGATCAAAATTCAGATGCTTGGCAACTGATTTATATTTAGGATGGTTGCAATGTCCCAGAGTCATGTGATCACCTTTTGCAAATTTCTAACAAGCGGTCAATGGGAAAGCCAGATTCCTTTAACAACTGTGTTACTAACTTAACAACTGGAGGATTCACTTAACAACTGTGGCATAAAAGGTCATAAAATGGGGTAAAATTCACTTAACAAATGTCTTGCTTAGCAACATAAATTTTGGGCTCAATTATGGTTGTAAGTCAAGAACTACCTGTACTAGTTTGTCTCTGCATGGGGATTGCCAGTCATCTTAACTCTTGCAATGGATTCTATTTGTGCTCTCATTCGAGTCTACTGCTTGTTTTCATTGAAGATAGATTGAAGATTAAGAATAGCTGTTTCTTGTGGAAACCATGACATCTTTCATAAAATTCATAACATAATTCATTGAACAAAATCAGTCCTTATTAATCAGTCAACATGCCCATGGAATTTTTTTTACATAAAAGTTTATTTCAATTTAATTACAGGTATAAATAACTTTTATGATAGAAAACGTCAGTTGAAATATTGGAAACCTTATGACTTCTCACCTTCCATGCTAAGCTTGCACAATGTGTTTTGAGGTTAAAAATGGTCCTTGGCCCACTATTGCCCAGCATCTCTTTGACACTCACCAAGCTGCCATCTTTCTTCTCGGTTTAGATTAATGTGTTAGAACGACAAAGCAAATGTATTTTGTTAGCCATATTTCAGCAACAAAGCTTTTTAAAAGCTCACACAGAGGTCCCTCTTTCTTAATGAAACCATTATTGCTTTTTTTTTCAAGTATTTGCATTTATGCCATTCAACACCGCCCCCCCCCAAAAAAAATATATTCCAAAACGGAGTGAACGTGGCATCAATAAAAGGACTCAAAAAGTTCAAAAATAATTTGAGAATTTTTGTCATTACAATAATTTTTCTTTCAACATCAGCACAACTAGTAAAAGGTTTTATGTCCCTCATGGAGATTATGGCTTATTCCTTACCCTGTGATCAGACTCTGCAATTTAGTATAATTTAAAGAAATAATTACGAAATATGTGAAAATAACACTAACAGTATTTATTTTAGTATTACAAGTTTTTTTTTAGTTAAGAATCATATTTATGGGTATTGCTTTAAATGCATGTTCTCATAGTGTGAAGGTCTTTGGCACAAGTGCAGTGGCAAAGACAAAGGACAGTTAGCATAGACAAAAATATGTGAATAAGTTCCCGCTAGCATTGTGTTTGCTATGTGTTGAAATGGTGGTCAATAAAAATTGTTATTGTTAAGTAAAGTAATTAAACATCAGATCATTTATGGGTCTTCATCTTTCTCACCTTTCCCCATGGCAGTTGAGCAAATCATTTAACTGAAGAAATTCCCCTTCAATTGCATTGTTACAAATTTGGTTTTTAGTCATTAGAGTCTCCACAAATGGAGAGAGAGAGAAAGGAGAAAGAGAAAGACTTTGCTTTATATCTATGCTGTTTCTGCAGGATATGTGCACAAAGGCTCAAATAACCCTTTCAAAGATCATTTATGCATGAATTCAGAAAACCAAGACATTTATGTGCGTAGTAAAGTTGTGAATGTTAAAATGTCATGAACTGGGAATGCATGTGTGGGAGAGGGGGTGGAGATAGAGAAAGATGGGGGGGGGGGAGAGAAGCTTTAAAGGGATGTTCCAGTTGTGCTGAATGCGGGTGCAAGGCGATCTGTATCTACATCAAGCCGATATACTGATGAATCCCTGAAGAGAGGCAGTCTAGTTTCATACTAAAGTTACACAATGGGTTTGATTTCTGTGTTTTCCCCTGCTTCGCCTTTTTTAAGAATCACAGAGTAAACCATTAAAAGAAGCAAATCATTTTCCAAAGAGGAAAAAAAGCCCTCATTTAAAAAAAAAAACTGTCTTATTTTCTTCCTTTTAATTATCAATCACTCTTTCTGCTGGTTACTTGATGAAGTGCTGATTCACCAAGGAACAGATATTGTTAATGAAAAAAAAATTAATCAAAGAAGAAATATTTCTATTCTTTATGGCAAATCTGATGAATGGCTTATCAAAAGAATATTTTGTAGGTTTTTGTTTCGTAGAGATTTTTGGAACTATAAAATAAAGTTTTAGCTTTTTTAAAAAAAAGTGTATTAATTGGTGCAACTATATATCAAACAAACAATAGAGTAGCATTTGAAATGGCTATATATTAACATAACATAATTAATTGTTGAAATATTAAATGTATGTTAAAGGAGAATTGGAGGTGATTAGGTGATAGACCACAGTATTTGTAAAGAGTGAAGCCCAGATTTTCATCTTTGGCTAAAATACCTTAACCTTGTGCCCTGCAAGTCTGTTCAACTACACCTCCTGTAATTCTCAGTTTATATAATCATGCCGATTTAGAAGCACAAGCTGTAGTTCTAACACATCTTAAGAACTTGAGGGTGAAGAAAATGGAGAATCATTCTTCATTCCCTGTCAGAATATATAAGGATTCTTCATGAGTTGACCAAATTCTTCATTTCCATCTATGCCGTACTAAGGACGATTCATCATTTACAGTGTCACAGTCAGCATAAGGATGACGACACCGTGGTGGAATAAGCAGCAAGATGATGAGTATGAGAAGTACAAGTCCACAGAAACTCATAAGTGTGTAAGACACAATCCACAAGATTGGTTCATGGACAGATACAGTTGATACGCAAGTGCCTGCCACATCTGTGGTAGTGAAAGGGCCTTCAATCTCAGATAATGGAGAACCATGCAGTTCTATATAAATAAATAAAAAGGAAGATAAATACTGAGAGAGCAAACAAAAAGCATATATATTAAAAATTATAATCCTATCAGTGTGTAGAATTACATGCCAGTATACTCTCTGTTAAATTCAAGCTCAAGAAAATATGCATACTACAAAAGAAACCCCACATCTACATTCAGGATACTTCATAGAAAAATGAGTTGAATTCAAAGCTGTAACCTTTTATTTCACAATATTAAAATATTTTGTTGTAACAATTATTTTCTATGATTTGTAAAATCAAAGAAATCATTTCAACTCTGTGAAACCTTTTCCTGCATAATGATTAATGTGAAATTGGAAGATATTCTAGACCAGGTGTGTCTATCTCAAGGCCCATGGGCTGGATCAGCCAACAATGTGGTCAGATTCCGCCTGCAATGTGGTTGGATCCAGCCTGCAGGGCCATCCTGGAAAATGTAAGGGGCCCACCTAACTTTGGCCTGGTCTACCCGCATTTCTTTGACCTGGTCTACCCAATGTGAAGAGGAAACATCGGACCAGCATGACTTCAGCCCAGTCTACCCAGTGCAAAGAAAAAACATCAGGCCAGCGGGGCTTTGGCCCAGTCTACCCAGTGCAAAGAGGAAACACAGTGGCATCAAGCTGGCCACACCCACCCAGTTGGCCATGCCCACCCAGTAAGCCATGCCCACCTGGCCCCCGAGATCAACCACAGCCCTGATGCGGCCCTCAATTAAATTGAGTTTGATGCCTCTATTCTAAACATTTAGAAACAATTTAATTAGCACTGCAAGATGGGCCTTAAGAACATTATTTTTAAGGTAAAATTTGCCTTTTCATTTACAAAAAACACCTTCATATTTCAGAAGAGTAGAAAGGCTACTGATTCACATTTTCCTTCCTGAGATGGTTCAAGTGTAAGATCACTTCTCACTACCAAAGAAGTCAGTATTCCATTGTTTATGTTTGTGTATACGTCTTTATGCGTGGGCACCTATGTGATTAAGTATACAGAATATTTTTAATTTGATACTTAATAACTACTTTGTTCTTGAAACACAATGGATTCTTTTCTTCTTTTGATCAACATACATACAGCATCTTGCATGTATGAGTTGTTCTTGCCAGTTTCAATAGCAAAGCATTTAATAATCCACTGAAAATGAAGAAACAGATCCAAAGTCTCTGTAAATGTTTGAAACAAAATGGGTTCCTCAATCCATCCTATGAAATTCACAGGAAGCCTTCAGAAATCAAACTTGCTCTGCTTGATCTATTTGGCAACATTGTTTGGAAACTTAAAAATCACAAAAACACATAGAAAAGTAGGGTCTTCAGTACAGAATATCTAAGACACTTGTATTTGGGACCCCCAGGTTTGAATTTTTAAAATATTATTTCAATTCAAAAGACATACCAGCACAAGTACTTAATGCAAATCCCACTCTCTTTTGGGCTCTATCAAAGATGACATAGAATCCTTCCATCACTGTAGCCCCAATAACCAAGGCATTGGAGGAAGAGGAGATACCAAACCGATAGCAGGCTAGATTCTGTCCAATCCCTAGAATTGGCTGAATGTAAAGCTGGGTTGTTGTTTTTTTGAAAGACACAAAAGATGATTAAAAAACCAAAATATATCTCAATGAACACACAATAAAACCAAATGATTTTTTTAAAACTATAAAATAAATACAAGGCTTTAAAAGCAAGAGCAATCACCATGTGCCAGTCAAAATGGTCAGCTTATATTTTACATAGACATTTAAATACCTTCTGACTGGTATAATTTATCCAGATTCACTTTAGCTTAAATATGGCTACTGTGGTGGTAAAATACAAAGAGAATTCTACAAAACTGAAACAGCACCATTAAATAAATACTGAGCAGTCAACCTTATTAATGTTTTAGATGGGAGACAACCAGAACATCTACTGTTGTAAGCTAGGTTACAGGACACTAAAACCTGGAAAAACATTCTGGAAGAAGACAAAGGCCTAATAGCATTTTCATATGATGCCGAAGAAAACAGTAGAGGAATCGAGCATGTCTCAAATGACCTTTGCCCTTTTCAAATTAAGCTGCAAGAAGGGCTGTGCAAAGGTTTAAGGATGCTTCATTTTGACAGACGATTGAATAAAATACTTCCAAATTATTTGTGAAAACACCCCATGCTCTTCCACTCACTAAGCAAAGTGGCCATATTTTGTCCTGAGGCCTCCTGAAGCTCCAGTAACTGGGCAACGTTGCTGTGCATGCTGGCTTTTATCCACACACAACAAAGGAGCAGGAACTGCCAGGCTTCCAAGACCCTGTCATTTCTTCTCTTTGATAGGGAGAACTGCACTGCCTCCATGACATGAAACACCCCATCAAGGTAAAGCTAAGCCATCACCTGCTGCCCTTGTTATTGTCAAAAGACTCAACAAGACTCTCCCTGAATGGGAATAAGCATCACTACTGGAATCCTTAACAAGACACACAAGCATCAATATATACTGCATAATGGGATGCAGATAAACAACTGTCAGCACTTAGTTTAGCACATGATTACTCCAGGTCCATCTTCCCTGTCATAAATATTAGTAATAGTAAAATAAGAGCTCCAGACCTGTGGAAGGATAGTAATTCGAAAGGACTGGCTGGAATTAACATCTCTCAGATAGATCGAGATCTTAGGAAAGAGGACCCAAGGATTTTCACTTTTATCCCAGCAAGCAAGTTGTGTGCCACTCCAAAATCCAGGTGTGAATTCTTGGATCTATAAGGAAAAAGAGGGGGAAAAAACAAATTCTGTCCCCACCTCAATAGGTTTGGTGTTCAGCACCTATTCAAGGTCTCTCTATTACCTGACTGTCAGTGTTTGTTTTAGTTTAACAAATTGGATCATAATGGTACACCAGTCACTTAATCAGGGTGTTTATTCTTATAAGAAAAAGTAGGACAAATCTTTTAAGTTGGCAGGCTAATTATTTGAGAGCTTTACATACTTCTATATGAAGCCTTCAACAACATGTTGAACTTTTGACCTGGAATTGCTGTACGTAGTTAAAGGTGGATACATAATAAATCTGGGCTGCCAACAAATCCCCTTCCTTTTGGACAGGGCACAGAAAAGATATGCTATGAAACTATTTGAACAGGTCAGCATTGAAATCAAGACGATGTTTGGCTGCGTATCATGCTCACCATGACAGATTAACTGAAACCTGTGAGTATATCAGTAGAGGTTGTCACTTAGGTTTTAGTTTTCTAGCCTCTTCACTGGAGTAGAAAGTGAGAGAAGAAATTCCTACTTATTGTGAAGAAATTTGCCATTTAAT